TTAGGTGAAAGGTATTGTGACAACTCATATTTGATGAGTCAGATAGCATTTCTTGTATGGCATTTGAATTTTGGAAAAAAATTGCTCTACCAAATTCAGTAGAACACTGCATTGCTCCAAAAGAGCTATTATGTTTTTAAAATCATGAAGTGCTATTGCGTACAGGGAGAGGAAGGTGAAACTATTAGGGATTGCTGTTGTAAGTGTGAAAACTGATCATTTTGTAACTTTGAATGGTCACTAAATGAGCTGTTGTAAATCGAAGAATACCTGTACTTTTTTGCTTAATTGAGCTCACCAGATGTTTAAGAAAAACTGGGCAAGGGGGGCAGCCAGCTGAAAGCCCATTGAGAGGAGGCAAGGTATAAACAATTGTCATGCTGACTGAATGCAGAGCTTACGCACCAGAGAATAGGGAAAACAGGAAAATGGGGCTGTGACCTGAAGTGCAACTTTTCTGAATTTCTAGTGGTCTTCAGTGATAAACCCTGCATTTTTTTATTCTGGGTGCTCCAGAAATTGTCATTAATTTCTGGAAACTACCTATTTCCCTGACTTTGCTTCTGCCTTATATGTTAGATATATTTGAGAATCTTCAAACTCATTTTTATTTTCGTTTTCATTTTATTTATTAGCCACCAATGGATTGAATTCATATGATATATTAAGCTATAAATTGTGGCTTACTAACCATAGTGGCTGAATTCATACACGCCTAACTTTCTAAAATGGTGCGTTCCCCTTCTCTTTTTGACAACTGGAAGCCTTCAGTGATTTAGCCTTTTTCTGATTCAACACAAACCTGATAGTTTGTGTTATATGGATCGAGATGCAGTTTCATCTTCATTTACTTGGCAAAAAAAGTAATAAGGGCAGTTTTATAGAGTTTGTCAAGTCTGAATATTTTTAACAAAAAGTGTAAACGTGTGGGATTGCATCAGGAATATTCTGCAAATAATCGATAATGTTTTGAGAAGCAAACTATGCCCTAATTTTCATGAGAAACAGTTCTCCTTCACTTTGCATTTCCCCTTACTTTTTGTTTCCTTTTAGATTCCACAGACTTATGATTCTGCTATGCATTAAGCTCTCTGAAACCTTGAGTTTCAACTGGGCACTTGACCAAAGTTATCATCTTTTCTATTGTTAATTAAACAATGTGATCATCAATAATTTCTCCTTCTTGCCGCCAGTGGTATTTGTGACTTCTTGGTTTCTCCCCACAGCCTCCCAAAGAGCAGCTCTCTCTTTCTTGCCACATTGCAAAACAGGCCTGTTTCTTTAATAATTGTATTAATGGTCACAGAATAGAATCTTCTCCTATAGTTGCCCATTAACTATGCAGTCTATTACACATGAAGAGTGGAGATTCAATGTGTAGCCTCCTCCTCCCCCTTCAATCCCTCCTCCTCCTGTTCGCTTTAATCAAACTAAGTTTCTTTCTATATTGTGGATATATGAATCTTCTTTCTTGGTGTATGCAAACCGATTCATTTCATGAGTATGGCTTATCTTAATTTTCCATTCAATATGTGGAATGTGATACTGAAGGGTTTTTTTGTTTTGTTTTGTTTTTTACATTACACATCCATTTTATCTTTTTTTTAAAAAAGTTACCCTATAGCAGAGAGCCAATGCATGCTAAGAAATTATATTCCTTCTTGTGCATTACCTGCCTTCATCTATGTTAATCTAAGTAGTTTAAGGAAATTATTTTCCCGTTCTATTATTTTGTAAACATTTCTATGATGTGGGTATCTTTACTGTCCCAGCTGAAAAAGAGGATTTGAAAAATTACTCAATAGGAGAGACATTTCAATTATAGATCCCTTTGAGGAAACCTTTTTTATATTGAGGACTGCATTCTTTTGGATGTATTCTATAAAAGGCTGCATGTTGTTTTATGATGAAGCATCAGAGCTAGGCAGAATAACTGAATAACAGAGTTGGAAGGGACCTTGGAGGCCTTCTAGTCCAACCCCGTGCTCAAGCAGGAGACTATACCATTTCAGACAAATGGCTATCCAGTCTCTTCTTAAAATCTTCCAGTGTTGGAGCACCCAAAACTTCTGGAGGCAAATCATTCCTCTGATTGTTGTTCTAATAGCCAGAAAAATCCTCCCTAGTTCTAGGTTGGTTCTCTCCCTGATCAGTTTTCATCCATTGCTTCTTGTCCTTCCTTCAGGTTCTTTGGAGAATAGGTTGACCCCCTTCTTCTTTGTGGCAATCCCTGAGATATTGGAACACTACTATTGTGTCACCTCTAGTCCTTCTTTTCATTAAACTAGACATACTCAATTCCTGCAACCGTTCTTCGTATGTTTTAGCCTCCAGTTTCCTCTGTTCTTTTTAATATTGTCTTTCCTAGCCTATCAAATAGGAACCATCCTACATGATCAGGGATGTCAAACTCGAGGCCTGCTAGGTACTTAGATCTGGCCCATGGGGCCATTCTGGAAACAGCAAAGGACCAGGCGCTGATCTACAACCTGGTGACAGCTGGCAGTGTGCTGAAGGAGGCCGTGGCAGCTGAAAATGGAGCTTGGGGGGGGGCGCCTGCAGCTCTCCCGAGCTCTGTTTTCGCTGGCAGAGTGCTAGCAAAACAAACTACTAGCAAAAGTGGCATTTGATCACAGGGCAAGGAGGCATCAAGAAATGTTTCTGGACTTCCGGTGGCACCGCTGATGTTGCTGGACGCTCTCTCTCGGAGCGCCAGCCCTGTGATCTTGTAAAGCCTCCCTGACAGCGCAAATCAGCTGTCTGGCGGCTGGAAAATCTTTTCCCCAGGAGAAGAGGGAAAGGAGAGTAATCGGATGGGGGTAGAGCTCCCCGAAAGCCCCTGAAATAGTTTTGGGGGCTCAGAGGGTGAGAGCTCCCCAGGAAGTCCAGTGAAACTCCAAGATCCAGGGCGCTTCTGCTTTAAGCAGAAAAAAACGACGCGACCACTTCTGCAATCTTTACTGAGATCTAAGTTGATTATCTATGCAGATGGAGTGAAGACAGGAGAACAGACAATCGCAAGTAACAAACCCTTAATTCCATGCTTAAATTGCTACTTTTTGAAGCTGCTTAAAGGAGTGAAGAAAATGGCGCTTGTGCTTAATAGGGTGTGAAAGTGAAAGTTGACTCTCAATAAAGCTGTTAACACCCAGCATTGTTCAAGGTGGATGGGGAAAAAAAGGCTGGCTTTTTTGAAAGTGATGAAGGCTCACTATTACAAACATCAGTAAATACATAAATATTGATTGAAGATCTCTTTAAAGAAATTTTAGAATCATTTACCTCCGTGTTGGAAAGAATGGAAGGGTTTTTCAACAAGGATTTTATTCAAGTTCGAAACAAAGTTACAAGCGAAGAGACTGTATCGGTATTTCAGTTGCCAAATAATAGTGAGTTGCTGAATGAAGAGGTGAAAGAAACAATCCAGTTTAATGTGCTTTTGGAAAATGGAATAGATGTTTTTCAAATTAAGAAGGAAAGGCTGAGAGGTTTGAAGGAGTGTAACCAGGAAATATTGAGAGAGATTTCTCCAGAGGCTTTGATACAGTCAGTTGGAAAATTGTCAGGAGGTGTTGGGATCTCTAATATAAGAAGGAAGTTTCAAAGTGGAATTTTACAACTTTTTTACAAAAATGGACTCTCAATCGCAGTTAAAGAGGTGTGTTTAATGAAAGGAATTACTTTGCGAAGAGAACAAGATTATAAGGTACAGCAACTTCAGCTGAAAACTCAAGAACTTATAAAAATAAAAGAAGATGGAGGAATAAGACTGAAGAAGAAGGTTCACAAAAAAGTCAGGAAAAAATTGAGATGGAAAAATTACAATCTTTTTGCCTGGGGAGGATAGTAGTAGTGAAAATGAATGACTAGACCTGTATTTAGGGATATGATTTGTTTTGAAAAGTTATGTTATAGTGTAAATGAATGATTTACTTATATTTAGGGACATGATTTGTCTTATATTAAGTAATGTTACGTTTGAATTGTTATGGGCTACTGACCAAACTTTCACTTTTGTCCTGAAGTATATTAACACTAAAGTTATATTTCAAGGAATGCTTTGCTGAAAAATTTATATAAGCTTATAAAGAATGTTTTGTTGAAGAATAAATATAAACTTGTGGGTTATAAGGAAAATATAAATGGTGCAAGGGTTGAGGGAAGGTTTTTACAATATTTTTTATAGATATCAAATAGTGAAGATGTTATTTGATTATAAGCAGTGGATTTGTAGAGAATAAGATGAATAAGTCTATGCAAAGCTATTAAGTAAGGAATGTTTCCAGGAAGAATCAATATGAGTTTATAGGGTAAAAAGTAAAAATAAGGTTTTTACAATATAATTTATTTGAGATTGGTTAAAATATTTTGTTAATGTGTTAATATATGTAAGGGTTGGAGATATGATGGTTAATTGTAATTGGGTTCTGATTGTGCAATGCTGGAAGAAAGAAGACTTGCTTATTATTGAAGAACGGACAAGAATGAAGTTGGATTGATTATTTTCAAGCAATAATTGGTTTAAATGGTTATATTCAGATATGAACAAGGGGAGTTAAAGTGCAAAAGGGAGATAAATCTATAGATAGTTAGCTTATGTTTTTTTATATATGTTTGTTAAATGCTATATCCTGTATTTGCTCTGGGAAGTCCGGGTGGGGGGGAGGGTTGGGGCAGGAGGGGGGAGGAGGGAAGGGAAAATATGTGTAAAATTTTTTAAAACTTTTCAATTAAAAAAAAAGAGAGAGAAATGTTTCCCTTTTTGCGTTTGCATTTCCATGGCCACCCAAGCCACGGCCACCTGGCATCAGACACAACCCTGATGCAGCCCTCAATGAAATCGAATTTGACACCTCTGTACAAGATGAAACTTCTACAGGGCACCAGGTTGAAGAAAGTTGTTTCAGAGTCCCAGGCTGTAATGGCACCAAGGACCTCCTCCTCTTTGATTGTCGCTATCTGCTTCAATCTCAGCTAATGTTGTTTCTGTCTTTTCCTAGATTAACCTCAGCAAAGTAGGTGAATACTGGTGGAGTGCCATTTTGGAAGGCGAAGAACAGATCGACATTGATAAAATCAATAAGGAGCGTTCTATGGCCACGGTGGACGAAGAGGAACATGCAGTGCTGGACAGACTGTCTTTTGATTATCATCAGAAACTTCAAGGCAAACCCCAGAGCCATGAAATGGTACGTTTCATAAAACTCCACTGCCCTATGTTAAAGTGGAAAAATAATTATGGTTTGCTGATTGTTCCTTGTTGCTATTGGAGATGGTTCTTTTCTTTAAAAAAAGAATACTTAATATTGGGTCTTACCATTAGGACCATTCCTAATGGTCCCAATCTACCATTCTAGGTTGGTTTTTTAGCTGAACTACTAAATAAAATCGATATTTGGTGGTGTTCTTTCTTAAAGGGCTATTAGAGGGTAAACTCAGTTCATAGCGCTCTATGTGAACTACCAGGATGTATCTAGCTTTCATCCTGCAAACTAGCTGAATTCATCAATCAAACAAAATCTTTTGTAGGAACTAAACATTTTTTCATCTTGGTAAATTAAAAAATGGAAACCACTGTTTAAAAAACAGCCACCTGTAAATAGAGGAACACTCCTGAGCATAACCTACAGATACAAGATCCCATTCACATTATTTACCGAAAGTAACAACGTTCTCTTGTACTTTCATCCTAAACCATGATGTATTATGATGGGAATGAACTTTATGTCTCCTTGCTCCTTTATGCTGTGCTCTTCCTGGTATAACTGCAAATTCATATGCATTTTGGTTTCCATTAGATGTGGCCATATTGGCCAATCTGTACTACTGTACTATTTAACTTCCAGATATGCTTTATCAAACCGTTGCCATCAACTATTAAGAATAATCACAGTTTGGGAAGGGGGAGGTATACCTTGTCTATTCCAACCTGCACTTTCTCAACATATTGGACCTTCAACTTCCAAAATTCCCAACCATCACGATCAAAACCATCTTCAAGGTATAATTCTATTTTAGTTGAAATTTTGGGAAATGCAGTCCCCAATGTCTGGAAAGTTCCAGGTAGGGAAAATTGCACTAAACTGTTGAAAACTCTTAAACACTCTAACTGAAGGCTGTACTAATGGGTTTGTAGTGATATTCATGGCTTTCACCCCATCAGAATAAAACCATGGGCTGACATTAACTTGAATTGATTTGGTTTCCTCAAATAGTTTAAATATCTGTCTGCAATCCCTTGAAAATGCCTGTCCTGTAATTTAAACCGGGGTACCCAGCCTTGGCAACTTTAAGACCTGTGGATTTCAATTCCCCGAATTCTCCAGAGAGTCCTGATTTAAAGTATGGGCATTGGGCCACCCTTGCAAAGATAAATTCATCTCTTGAGCTTTTGCCTCTGCCCTGTTTTCAGAAAGTCCATGAGATGCTGAAGAAGGGCTGGGATGCGGAAGGCTCTCCATTCCGAGGGCAGAAGTTCGACCCTTCCATGTTCAACATCTCTCCGGGGAACATGCATTTTTGATGGTAGCAGCAAGTGAGGAGGAGGAGGAGAACATCGTGGCCTTCATCCTTGACACGAACCCGATGCTACTGCCAGACTCTTGCATCTGGTGCAAGAAGGGTCTCTTGTTGTCCCTGCTTGTTCTTTGGGGCTTGTTTGTAAAATGACAAGATTGTTAAAAAATGATTGGCATGTGTGGGCTTGCTTTTGGGGAGGGGGCAGAGAGGGAATTGAAGTGGGAACGTGGGTGTAAGTCCTTCCCTCTAGCTCCAGGTTAGTGCTTTTGATATTTATGTGGGGAAAACCTAGCAAAAGCAGCATTACGTACTGTGTCACCACGGCAACCAGCAGCTGCTGGTAGCATTTCCTTGTCTCCTTAATGGATTCATTTGTTGCTTAGGGGGGTGGGGGTGGGAAGAAGAGGAGAGCTTGGTTGAAGGTATTCCTCCTCCCCTTTTCAGAAATAGATGCAGCTGGGTGAAATGGTGACAACTTCTCACTGGCTTCCTTGAAACCGCCTCCTGTGTGTGTGTGTCTGTCTCCCCGCTCTCCAGCTTTTAGGGAACCCAAACTCCTCAGTGTGCTGGGCAGCGACAACAATCTGCAATCAGTGTCATTTGAGCATGATCTAAATTGTGGGTTTGGTCCTTGAGACCCAAGGAGTGGGAGGGGAACATTGGAGGATCAGGCAAGTCTGTGGAAACGAGCCAGTCCAGAAGGCAACACTTGCACCAGCGTTTCTATGACGGCCTATGAAGCCTGGCCAACAAATAACCATATGAAAGAGGGCACACTTACAGGTTCTTCATGCTGTGGTTTTGCTTGTGTTTGTGATTTAGAGATCACAGAACCTCAGAAAACTGCAGCTCTCTCCCTCTGTGTCTCTCCCCCTCTCCCTCCCTCCCTCCCTCCCTCTCCTCCCCGCCACTCTCTCCAAATGCTCTAGCCAGGAAGCTTTCTGAGCTCATAGCCCCATTGTCCTCATTTCCCCACCTATGATTATATGAAGTGCATAATTGTATTTTATGCATTTCTGGGATTTTTATCAACAGGAGATGGGGTAATCAGGACCATCTGGCAGAGGTTTTAAGAGCCCTTTTTGTATAGAGCGATCCCAACAAAATTAGCCTCCCTCCCCCCCAGCTGCTATTTGCCCCAGAAAGAAAACTGCTATTAAGGCCAATGGTAATTTTCCTCCTAGGGCAGAGCAATTTCCATATGTATGTATGTATGCATGCATGTGGCCATTGTGATTATCTTCTTTATAACTCTTTTTTTTAAAAAAATCAAACAAGGAAAAGTCGCCCTCCTATAGCTGGATAGGCTATGTCCTTTTAGGGACCTTTTAACTAGTTCCACACTTGTGACATTACATAAGAACCCTCTACTGTGTACATAATAAGAAATAAAGAGATGGTACATTTTCATTGGTCCATTTATAACAAAAGCCCCAACCCTGTCAAAATATTAAAAACACACTTTAAGGGAGTTGAATCTGTAAACAGGCTTCTCAGAAACTAAGAGTTGTCTCTTCTGTCCTGAAGGGGAGGGGGTCCACGGATAGAATACATGCTGTTTGTGGGCTCAGTTTCCCTGAGTGAATTATAATTCTGACAACAAAGTCTGTATAACAATGGCAAAGTCTAATTTCACAGAAGATGTGTCCATCCAGAAGGTGTTCCACCCTGTGAAAGCTGGGCACAGAATTGACAAGATTTGCTTTTTCAGAGGTGATCTTTTCATCTTCCAGCAAGCTGATAGACAATTGAAGAAAAGAAAAAATAGAATGACGATGTCATCTAAGGAACCAGAAAGCAACATATAATGTCAAAAAATATGGATGAATATGGATGTAGAGAATGTGGGTTGATTGGAAACATGTTGATTGTTACCTGTATCATTTTAGACTATGACTGAGTGAAATACTGAAACTGCACAAAACATCCCATTAAAACATAAGACTGGCTTAGAGACAAATGTATTCATTAGGTCTGTCTCTGTGTGTAGGTTGGCTAATGAGCCATCAATGGTTTGATTCGCCAACCTTGGCATAACATGCTAAGGGTTCTAGTAAGAAATGAGAGAACATAGCCATGGTTTATTTTTAGTGTGTTGACAGCATCATTCCTGAATTCTGCTAGCAGATGAAGCCAGGGTCATCTTGTTGGATATACGTCCAGGATGAGAGAGACAATGAACTGTTGAATCACCTCTTATGGCTTACAGCAGGGGTGTCAAACTCGCATCGTCACAGTGTTGTCATATGACTTTTTTCTCCTTCGCTAAACTGGGCGTGGCCAACACGTGACGCATCTGGCCCACAGGCTGGGAGTTTGACAGCCCTGGCTTACAGGAACACCCTGTTGAATCACCCTGTGGTTCAAATAGAGAGAATATTGGTCCTTGGATTGCTCTGGTTTTTGCAGTGGGGAAGCATCTCATCCCTTTTTGAGAAACATAGTTAAGTAAAAAAACAATGTGAGCTTTGGGAAGTGACCTAGGCAAGACCTTGGCATTCCACTCACAAGAGACCGAGTGCTGTGGCCATGATGGCAAGGCAGTACCCAAGAACCATTACCTTGGCAGAGAGCAGCCATTCTGCTACATGCTTTTTGGTGTATTTCATGCCCCCAGGACAGCAGCTGCTATGCCACAAAAGCAGGCAAACGTTCAGCTGTTTGGGCAGGGCTGGAATCCCAGTCCCACATGTGCAAGGCGAAGGCTTCTTTGATGTGAGCCTGCACTTGCTTCAGAAGATGGTATTTTGATAATGCAGATAATGCATTTTGTTCAGTAGTGGCCATTCCTCTGCAATCCAAGTTCTGAGGAAACGACAGTGGTATGTTGGTTGTAGAAAGTAGGCCTGGGTAATTTTGCATTCTGGATTTTTAAATATGTTTTTTCCTGCAAAAAATGAGCTTTTAACATTATAGCCATTTTCTGGTGAATGGGGTAGGTCCTTACTCATGTATTCCATCCATTATATTCCATGGCCCTTGTAGGTTTCCTAGATGCACAGATGAATGCCCGTGTCCCAAACAGTACCTAGTGTTAGACCAGCTTCCTTTAAGCAATCAGTATAACTTACAGTACATTTGTTATTCTAGTGCCTAATTTTTTTTTCCTTAAAGGAAAAGAGCTAAAGAGTTGAGGACTCAACTGCCTGTAAGTGCTTCTCTGTTTTTACATAATTTATTATTTCTAAAGCACCTAAAATCAACCACGGAACAGCTTTTGAGGTTTGTCCAAAGTGCTGTGGGTGGTTCCTAGGAGCACATTATTCTGAAAAACTTCACAAGACCTGCTACTGATTAGTATTTTGTCCCCTGTCCACCCACACATTTCATTGTTGAAAAAAGCCCCTGGATCTTAGAAATAATGTTTGTGAGTTTGAGTTTTTGTAGAAATGCATCACTTCTGGTTCCAGTGTGTTTGAGGGTGACTCTCTTAACAAGTCTGAAGTAGGATAATTCAAAAGGGAGGACAGTTCTCTAGGAGAAATGCATCCTCCTCCTCTTGGAAATAAAAACTCATGGGTTCAGTTCACTAAACAAAGCAATCCAGCAGCTTGGTTAAATTTCCAGCTAAGAAAAAAACCCCAGGAATTAGCTGATCATTTTGGTGAGTCCGTATAATGGCCGTTCACAGAACGTAAATTATCAAACCTTTTCCAAGAATTGTTTGTCACCGTATAGATTTGTAGCAATACATTTTGGCAAAATAGGAACAGAAGAGGACGTACTAAAAAAACTCAGTGATAATATCGATTCGATTTTAGTCCACAGGTATTCTAGGAAGAAAAATAATATGAAGGCAGAAGATATCCTGTCCCACGGAATATCTTCTGCCCAAATAATGCACAGTTATTGAATCAGGAGTAGGGTGGGGAAGTGGGAAGAATCTAAACTATACAAGAAAGTGGAGCCTTTGAAGAAGTGTGATTTTATTTTTAATATATCTAATCTTCAACCCAACAACAGTATTGTATAGAGTCAGGTCACTTGGCATTCATTTGGTTTGAGATTGCACTGAACTTAGCTTTCTGCTAGGAGAAGATAGCCTCCAGGATATTTAGTTTTTAGAAAAAATGCCTCTGCTTATTCTGCATCCATTCTGTGTTTTGAATGGACAGGCTTACTTTCTTTTGTCATCAAAGGGACATCCAGACCAAGCCTGTATGTAAAGAATTAAAAAGCTAAAGTTTTACATGCCTTATATGATTTATAAAGATGCAATACTTCAAACAATTGCTACTTACTTCTCGGCCTCATCAGCTTTGATGACAGAGTTCCATAATCCAGTTAAATATTTCAGCAATTGTTTTTAAGATACTGGTGATCTATTTTTTTTACAGTTGTTCATAGAAATTGTGATTGTTTTAACCCAAGACCTGTCCATCAAAATGCAAAAACAATAGCATGACTCAACAATTGCAAAACACAATACTGGAAGTGAATAACATTCTCATTCTCTGGGTATTGTATTAATGTCATAGGTACTTTACCCAGTAATTAGTTTTACTGCTATCATCTCTCTAAATTTAGTCAAAAGTGCTGATAATACTGTTAAATTAACTTAAACAGATTCAACAACACTTCTAAGTAAAGTGGTTTATAATATTGTGAATATGTAGACTCGACCTTCATAACACATAAGCCACAGTTTATTTGACCACAGTTTACTGAGGGAATAAAACTAACAGGGGTTACCCAACTTACAAATCTATAAGCCCTGGTTTGCAAAGTATATTTATAATTTCAGTTTCTAAGGCCACCCACTCACCAACGACTGAACAACTTGGGAGTAAAAACAGCACTACATTAAAAGCATTGAAAATACATTTTGCTTTAATGCAACATGTGAGCCATGGTTCATCTCTCAGTTCAGAAGAAGTGTTAGAAATATTAAGAAAGGACAAGTGAGAAAATAAGCGAACACATCCGTTTTGTGTCAAAAGAAATGCAGAGAGATGAGGCAGGAAAGGGATTCAAACACATCAATCTTGATCTAACTTTCTAGAGTTAGCCTTGCCCTTAAGACTATCCCAATAAGCTTGTTTGTGCCCCAAACCATACATGAAAGAAAATCATGCCTTTAATATTAAGATTAATTTCATTGGACATTGGGAGAATGAGCTACTTTCTAAAATGGAATTTATAAAAACAGCATCCTGAATTAAGATCTGTATATACTGGAGAGAAAAAGGTCTGGTTCAGATGACAGATCATATTAAGGTTTAACTATGTTTAATAAATAACAACTGGCAGGGTTTATATTGTATGCTACCCTTAGACATGATTTGCAAAAAGTAATCTTGGGTTTTACCCAAACCAAACCACATTATGGCTTAGCATAGAACTGAATTCATGGAAATGGTCCTTCAAAACACCAAAACCTAGACAAGGTGGAAGCATTCAGTTTGCTTGGAAAGCAGGAGGTGTGAACAGGTGAGGGAGGATATCATTTCCCTCACTGACTGAAAAGGGGAAAAATTGTTCCCAAAGGTTTTCTCCCCCACCAAATGAAATGGGTTGGATCATTTCTCACATTCAGCCTGTGCTTTGCCACCCTAGTTAGCTTACACCCAGCTGCACCACTACTTCCCAGAGCCTTACATGATGATAATTCCTTTATGGTTAGAATAAAAATATCTGTTAGCAAGATGCAGCCCCCACATACGCCCACGGTGCCCATGGCAACAGGCAGACATGGGCAGGCAACGATGCTGGGGGACTTAGTTTGCATGGGCTCAGGGGGTGCCATCATCTGCTCTGAAGAAATCTTAAAACTCAGGAATCCATTCTCCGCTCCTGCTTTATGCTCTGCAGGGCGGGTTCAAAGAGAATTGACTCCACTTTCCCAAGGAGTGCTCTGTTTGAGCAGTGGGATGATCCAACTCGCAATTCCCTATCCCCCTGCCTTATACTGCATGTCATCAGCATAAGATGCTTAGCAAAAGTGAGGACCCATGCTTCTGCCTGTTGTGCAATGCCTTTGTCGCCTGGCCTCATGAAAACTAGCAAGGTGGGATGGGCAGGTAAAGGATTGTCATTTCTTTAACTGACTGAGGCCAAGCTTGGACTCCCAATCACCGTCTTAGAAAGCAGAACAAAACAGCAATACTGATTTGCTGGCTACTTTTCCATCCTGGTTCTTTGGCTTATTTGAAGGGCATATTGATTTTATTGTACGAATGAATTGTCCAGAGCTGTTGGCTCTGTAAACACCTTTCAACTGTTTGTGGTCTGGGTTGTACAGTACTAAAGGAATTTAAGAAGCTACTTTAGAAGGATCAAGTTATTATTCCAGCTTGGCTAATATTGACCACTTACCAGCAGCAGTTGTCCAGCAGCTGTCAGTGGGGAATGCTTCCATCATCTGATGCCTGGTCTGTTCATCTGGAGATGAAGATTGCATTGGCACCTGCCGTAGCATAATGCTAACGTTCCTTGATTGGATGAGTTCCCGATCTTGCTGCAGAAACCCATGGGAACAAGCCAGGGTCTTATTTATGGTTGTACCAATAATCTCTGCCACATGCTGATTTATTTTCTTGGTTTGTTTCAGAGCCTCTTATGCAAATCACTCTAAGAAATGAGCTCCTTCTCAAGGGCAGGGACATCTCATAAAATCTGAAAAATCTGCCCTGTGCTTGATGGTATGGAGTAGATCATAGCTCTGGTACTAATTTCTAGGTCTGGCTACCAACATGCTGAACCATGATGTGACCTGGTTGGATTAACATGCGTTGTGTTAACAAGTTATCCCAAAGGTGCTTTTTCAAAAGGCAACTGGACTTTGTTTTTGCTTAAAGACATTTCGCTTCTCATCCAAGAAGCATCTTTAGAACTGACCTGGATGACTGAGAATCTCCATAGACAGTTAGCAAGTTATGTGAACCACATTTTATGGGTTAGTAGGGGGAACCTGTAACTCATACCATGACTGGTGAAAGCTGGCTGTTCGGTTCACTGCATTTGA